CTCCTGGGGCGGCCGAGAGGCTTCCCCGGCCCTGCCTCGAGGGGGCCCCACCCGCGGGCGCGAGGGCCGAGCCTATCCCGGGCGGCGCCGCCCGAGGCGGGGAGCGCCCTGCGGCCGCCGCTCTCTCGTAGCCCGGTCTGCCGCGCGTCTCCCGGCGCTGCGCGGGCTGCGCTCGGGGCTCTCCTCAGGCCGCCCCACCGCCGCCCTCGCGGCCCCGAGGGACCGCCGCCCCACCGGCCGCGCTCCGTCTGCCCGCCCCTGGGGCTCGGCATTCCGCCGCCTCGGCCCGGGCGGGCAGTACCTGGTGGCCGGGCGGCGGTCCGCGCGGGTGTCACCGAGCCGCCGCCTCCATGGCGCTCGGTCGCGGCGGGAGGAGCTCCTCCCCCTCCCGCATGGACCCGGGCAACGTGACGGGCCGTTGCCATGGCGGCGCCTCGCTGACGTCAGAGCGCTTAAAGACACAGCGTCCCCCCGGAGGTGGCCTCGCGGGGCAGGGGGCCCTCAGGCGGAGCCCGCGGCGGCGCCTTTGAGCGGCCTTCCCTCCCCTCCCCTTCCTTTCCCTTCCTTCTGCCCGTAACACATAGTTCTGTGAGGAGTTGCCGGGAGCAGCCGCCCCGGGCTCCGGAGCTGGACTAGGGTGTCACAGAATATCCCGAGTTGGAAGGCGGTCCGGCTCCCGGCTCCACACTGCATCACCCAAACCCTGTGTCTGGGAGTGGTGTCCAAAGGCTCCTTGAGCTCTGCTACCTGTTCCATGCCCACCACCTTCTGCTGAAGAGCCTGGTCCTAGGAAGGGCGGTTGTGATGTCTACGAGTGGATATTGAAATCCCGCATCCCTCATAACCCCGCAGCCTTTGGTGGTGAATCCACAACGTGGGTCCATCACAGCAGAACTGCCTGAGCGCCATCCATCCAGGCACAGCTCAGCCTGTCAGACTCCAACCTCAGCCCACACGGTGGCCCTCTGCTTTGTGCCCCATCTCCCCCAACCCCACTGTGTCGCAGGAACACCTCCATGGCTGCCTCAAATGTTGTCTCAGCTTTGCCATGGATGCAAGGTCCACATTCTGCTTCCCTCTGCTACCATACATCTGTGCTCCATTTACCAAAGGACAGATGTCACTCAGCGATACATTTACTCTGCTTTTAATGAGTGATCGTGTGGAAAAAACCAACAGTGAGCAGGTTTCAGTTTGCTGTACTTTAGCTGAAGAGGAAAAATCATCTTTTTTCAGAGTCACTATAATGCTGTAAAAGTTGCTCATCTTTTCAGAAAAGGAACATATGGGCACAAAGACAGTTCCACTTAAACTAAGCTTGTTCCCTTACATTTTTCTTAATTCAATCTTTGTCTCTCTGAGCAGTGATTGCTGACAAGATATTGTCCCTGAATGGACATATCATTTCTCATCTTCTCTTTTGGAGCAGCTCTGGAAAATCACAAGCAGTAAACAAAGCCCCAGAAACATTCAGATGGTATTTAGGTAGTTGCATCTTATGAAATTACCAGTCTTTGCCCTTCCAGTGGAGCAAATTAAAACATTTTATAAAAAAATTACATAATTTATCCTCATGACTCATTTGGGAGACAGAGAAGTTTCTTAGCAGATGGGAAAATGAAGCACACAGGACATGGCTCTCAGCAGGGGAACTCGTCTTGCAGAAGTGGCATTGCTGCAGCTGTGATGGTCCAGGGCTTACAGCAAAGATCTTTGCAGGAAGGAATCTCCTTTCTCAGACAAATAAAAGGAATTATCTCTTTCTGTTAAACTTCTCATCCACTGTGCACCCCGTTTAGGAGTTCTTTACAAAAAGAAGTTGTGAATCCCCAGTCCTGCTAGTGGCAATATTTTACAACCCATTTTTATCCATATTTGTTTCTAATCATCGGTTTCAGATGCTAAATCCTTCTCTGCAAAATCAGTGATCCCCTAATGGAGATTTTCTTATGCCAGTTCAGCAATACACTTTATATTATTTCAGACTCAGTTTTTTCCTGCAGTGATCAAGAAATGCTGAGGTACAGTGCCAGATGAGTTTTTAAAATCCATCTAGATCAGTTTCTCTAACATGTTCTCTTTGAATTATGAGTGACTGCAGCCAGCACAGCAATTCAGTTTCTGATAGATTAAATCCTTCTGGAGGTCCCCACTGCTTGGATTCCTGCCTGGTGAGTTGGAGCCATCCCAGATGGGAAGGCAGAGGAAGGGAACCTGCTGGAGGCTGTGCTGACTCAGCTCTAACTGAAAACCTCTGCCAAGGCAGCTCCAGCACACCCTAACCACTCTTTGGATGGATTTGTTATGAAATACTGTGTGCTAGAGCAGTGATCTGGTATTAGGAAGCAATGAGGTATTTTCTCAAAAACAGCTCAGTCTTGGCAGGGCTGGAGCCCAAAAGATGTAAAGACAAGCATGCACACAATCTAAATGGCTAAAAGTACAACCAAACTCCATGCATGCTTTTCTCAGTCCCAGAAGAATGCAGAGTTCATTATCAGTGTGGTACTTTCCATGTTCCAGAAAGTCCCCACCTTTCATCAGCCCATTATCTAATTCCTTCCCAAACCACTTCAGAATATACAAGAAGTAATCATATACAAGAAGTAATCATACTTCAGGAGGCAAGTAAAAAAAAAAGGAGATAACCAAGAGACAAAAAGATCCAGAGGGAATCCCCTCCACTGGCACGAATGAATCACAGGAGCCTTTTCATGGACTTCAGGAAAACTAAAGAAAAACTAAGTTGCTAGACTTCAACATTAATGTACTGACATAGCAATCCACTTTCTTGACACCTCTACAGTAGCAACACTGTTTTTCTCTCATCCATGTTCTTAGCATTGGCTAAATTAGAACCCTCCTGCAGGAGGAACACTTCTTTTGTTTTGTCCTCATTCTTTGTTTATCATGGGCAGCACTTCTACTGCAATCCATACAGCCATCAGGTGAGATATACTAACCCATCTCTTTTTCCCCTCACATTTCCACCTTTCCCTTCAGATCTAGGAACTAAAATGGTGATCAACCCTTTGCTAGGAAGTAAGCCAGCTCACTTTATTTTTCCTTAAAACCTTATGAGGAGCTAGAGCCTGAAAGCTCACTTGTTTTACTGATAATGTTTAATTGTCCGACTAGGTAGGATTACACAGACTATCTTCATATGCATGAAGAGACAGTGTGCCCAAACCCTTTCGCTTGCTCGGTCTCACAGCTGGAGCAGGACAGATGATATTTTACCATTCTGTCAGCAACTCTGCTTACAGAGGCTTGACCTCTCTCAGTAAACAGGGCAATGCCTTCTCTGTGCTCCAGCTGATGCTCTGCACGACATGCGTGGTGGCAGTTCAGTCTGGATGACGGAAGAAAGGAGAGTGAATACATATACATAGATGCTTTACATATGGCATGTATGTGTGCGTATTTATGAATAATATCTATTAAAGTTTCTTTCAGACAAAGTGATGCAGGATAATAATGGAACTACCGAAAGTGCTCAGCATAAAAGAACACCAAAATATATGCATGCATCAAATGGGTTGGAAAAGCCACTCAGATGCTACTGTTCCCTTTGAAGAGCAGTTGAGAGAGCACTAGCAAGTTTCACATGTTTCCTGGAATTTTTGAGGTATCTCACAACACTCAGGATCACTGAATGAGGCAGAAAGCAGAGCTCACATCAATTCCCATGCTTCTGCCTCTTCTCTGATGCCACAGTCCAACCCACTTGTAACAAGGGTGCATGAGGGCTGAGAAAACTTTACAGCAGTTTTGGAAATTCTTTTGTTTTCTTCCTGGAGGGGGAGAGGAGCAGGCAAGCAGGGGAAGGAGAATGTGCACATAAAACCTACACAGACAAGTTTCAGTATGCCAACAAATCCCAGCCTTCTGATGAAGTCTCAATCAGCTGTAGCTCTGGCAGCAACTTCAGTTGGAATGGCCGGGGAGAAGGCTCCATTCTACCAAGGGTGTGGGTGTGGAATTATAACAGACACTTCCATAAACTGCTGTCTGCTCAAATGTCATGGCATTGGCTTTCTGCCCCATTTTCAGCTGCAGGGAAAAGCAGAGGGGAGGAGCAGAAACAATGAAGATCCCTTTTTAAGTCTCAGATTGAAAAATCTCCTACTTTTTACAGCCAAAAAGTTCTTCTTGTGGCTGTTATAAACGGCATTTCCTAGACCTGCTTTGGAAATTGTCATATACCCAGCATAATTCCCCAAGGATTTTACAGTGTGTGCTTCAGGGAACAAAGCAGGACCAGTTTGCTGTGCACAAGCAGCAGGTGATCACTTTTGTGAGTTTACAGTTACTACAAAAAGCAGAGAGTGTAAAGTACATTACTGTTGTGCTCCAGGTGTAAAGTGGAATGAATGGAAACAGAAAAGGAGAACAGCCATGAAAAGTAGCTTAATACAACATTCAGTAACTGACATGGGGAGCAAAGGCATGTGGAATTAAGAAGAGAGAAGTTCTGAAGTATTATTTTGTTCAGGCTGGTCAGAGATTGTTTGGCCTTTCTGCAAAAGCAGCCAGGAAGCCAGCTGAAGAAGCACAATGATGTTCATTAGCGAGCTTCAGAAATTCTTACAAATATCGGCTAGTTTCCAATCACAACCAAATCAAACTCATTTTTACATTTATAATGAAGGAGTTTTGCATTCCCTATCATCCAGCACCTTGGAAAATAACAGGTGTGACATTTCTCAGTGGATGCATTCACACAATGCCACCAATAAATGAATGCATTGACACAGCCAAACCCTACTGTACATATCTGCAGTACTGTGCCATTGAACACAGTTGCTAATTGCAGACTGCAGAACAGCAAGCCTTCAGGTGTCACACACACAGAGGCATACGTATGACGCTGTGCTCTAGACAGAGAAACTACAGTACTTCTATTGTCAACTGCAACAGTTTTAAAAGACAAATTTAGTAATATCAACTGATACAGCTATGCTCTCAAAGTACTGTACCCCGTTAATCAAATTAAATCGGGCAAGGAGAGTAGAGGATACAGAAAAGGGTGAAATGTAGGGAGGGAGAAGGACACAATCTGCAGTGCTTGTTCAGATCTGTAGGATAACTCTGTTCTGCAAGTTACCAGGACTCACTGCTTGCACATCACATCTGTTAAATGAAGAATCGAGATAATTTCAGACTTCTTAAAACTCAAAGGCTGAGATGTCTATAGCAGTTTGGATGTGTACATCAGCGATGATTCAACGTTTAGGTCTAATTCAGGAAAGCAAAATGAAGAGGCTTACTGGATTTAATTAACTCATGCATATTTCAAGGATCATAAGGAATAAAATACTTGTTTTTGTTTGTGTTTTCCTTTAGTAAGTGGCACTGGTTGACACGGCTGAATGCAG